CGGATTGCACAGCTGCGTCCCTATCTTGATGTGGGGGCGCTCACCACTTTGGTCCATGCGCTCGTAGTCTCAAGATTAGACTGCTGTAATGCTCTCTACATGGGGCTGCCTTTGAGTCTGACGCGGAAACCTCAGATGGTACAAAATGTGGCGGCCAGACTTCTAACTGAGGCGAAAAGGTACCAAGATATTTCCACCACACTGGCCACCTTGCACTGGTTGCCCATTCATTTCTGCGTTGATTTCAAAGTTCATACGATTACATATAAAGCTCTAAACAGTTTAGGACCTCGATATCTGGCAGAGCACCTTCTCCCACCCAGTTCTACCAGAGTCACTTGTTCCAGCCAGGCCAGGCGGCTAAGAGGTCTAACACCGAGGGATGTCCGGAAGGAAAGAACGAGAAACCGGGCCTTCTTGGCAGTGGCCCCTCACATCTGAAACAACTTGCCCGTGGAGATCTGCCTGGCTCACTCTATGGGTGTCTTCACAAGCAAAATCAAGACCTGGCTATTTGGGCAGGCTTTCCCTCCTGCTGTATTTTAAATTCATATCTTACCATCTTGGATTTTAGTGCATGTTTATTGGTTTAACTGTTAAATTTGTAATGCCACCCACAGTAGACCGTTGGTCTAGATGGGCAGGGTAGAAATCCAATCCAATCCAATCCAATCAATAAGATTTAAATTATCTTTCTGAATCTACACATTGTCAGATTTAGTCACTATATTTCAAATTTCAAATCAGATTGTTGCAGGAGGAACTATAGCTGGAGGATGTAGCTTTTATGAAAAAGAGGCACAGATTTTCAAAACAGTTGAGAAGCACTGTCCTGCAGATATCCCTTCTTAATTTCTTCTCTATTACAGAAAGGGGAAAGTAAGCAACGAGGATAGAAAAATACTTATATAGCTCAACTAAAACGGGCTTATGTACCCTATGACATTCACTCTAAATTATTTTGTTGACTACAGCCCTAACACTGATTTAGAAGTCTCAGGTAACGTCAGCAGACTGGAGGACCGGGAGACATGAGAGACAGGAGAGCTTCCTCACTGACTTGCCAGGCTGCACTTGTTTTCCCTGAAGTGAAAAACATTCACAGCTGCTATGAGTAGGTGAAGCAGTGTGCCCACAAATTGACCATTACAACCACTGTATCAATCCACCATCTCTTTAATAAGAGATTTCACATTAACAGATAACACAGAAAAGTGAAGAGAATTTGGGTACTGAATAGAGAAAGGCAAGCTTCCTTCAATTACTTTAGCTGAGAAATATAACAGATTTTCTGAGCCAATCTAAGTTGGTGAGCATTACAAGACTGCAAAGCTCAAGTTTCCAGAGTTCAATGCCTAAATAAGAGGCAACAAGGTAATGAATTCTTATTCCTGGAGAATTCTTGCATTCAACTGTTCAACTATAAATACAAAGTACATATAAATTAAGCTGATGCTGTATTCTTCAAGCCATGAACTACACTGGAATGCCAAACTGAAGCTTTAGCTATGAATGTACCACATGGTCACAGCCAGGAGGACATAAGGAATACAGTCTGCCATGCCCTAGGGGTCCTATTATGCAGATGACTTGGCAAATTCTGTTCAGTGCATCCTCTGGTCACAACACATATCTGAATTTGTCACATTTTTCTGTATTCTTCTATGAGAATGAGAAAATTTTACAGGTGATACCACCCTAATGATAAATAATAAGCACAAAGATATACAAACGAAAACTACGACGCCAACATACCTTTACCAGTTTCCCAGTGATCTCTGGCATATCTCCTATCTTCCGATTATCTAACAGTCGTATTTCATAGGACTGACCTTTCAGAGAAGGAAAAGGCATTTAATTTATTTATATAATGTCATCACTTTATCTGGTCAATGGATTACTTATAAGTATTACAATGAAATGTGATATATTATATTAGTGTACAAGAAAGAAAAACAATCCTTTGAAAGCCAGCACTGACTTTTCTAGCACAAGGAGAAAAGCAAATAAACTAAGCACTTTGGTAAATATGATGAAGAAGGGACAGATACTGACATTGGAAGGAAGTAACTTTATATTAAAGGCTCTGCTGTGCCATATATTGCCTTTAGTTGTGATCACTCAATCTCACAACAGCATAGACTGTTGACAGGCCTGAGGTAACTACAGCAATTTTGGAATTTTGTTAAGTACCTGTTTCATTCAGACCCTGAATGCCAGTAGCACCATTATAAATTCTAAGTACCCTGTTATAGGAAGACACTACAAAATGCATACTGGACACTACTACAATAGCACAATCTTTTGAGAAACCACCGTGTTCTAAATATACTCCAAAAGATGCAGAAGCAAAAATTAAAAGTTCAAATAAAAGGGAATTGCAAGAGAAAATGAAGTCTCAAAACTATGAAGCAGAAATGTACTGTATCTGTAAATGAGAGGTAAAACTACTTTGTGTAGTTTCCCATTCATGCAACAATACAATACCACCACATCATCTACATGCTTCCGTCAAAATAGTATTGTGTTTATTATGACGAATGCTACTTCTAGAATTGTTTATTTAAATGCAATATTCAGCTCCAAACTGACACAACATTTATGTGTGTATCAACACAACACATAATACAGCCTTTGCACAATGTTTAAAAAATCTGAACTCAGGCCCTAACATAGCAGAACCGACAGCACCTTCATGAATTGCTGCCTTGTCGTGGCGAAGGGGCTTGAGTAATTCAGAGAAGATACGGGCTATGCCGTCCAGGGACAGGTCATAGTGGAGAGTTTGGACTAAAGGCAATCCACCTGGAACAGGAACTGGCAAGTCACTCCAGTATCTTTGCCAAGAAAACCCCATGAACAGAAAGAAAGGCTAAAAGATATGACTCTGGAAGATGAGCCCCTCAGTTAGAAGGTGTCCCACATGCTACTGAGGAAGAGCAGAGGACAAATACAAGTAGCTCCAGAGCTAATGAAGTGGTTGGGCCAAAGCCGAAAGGACGCTCAGCTGCAGACGCACCTGGAAGTGAAAGGAAAGTTCCTACTGCATAGGAATCTGGATGTGAGATCTATGAACCTTGGTAAGCTGGATGTGGTCAAACAGGAGATGGCAAGAATAAACATTGACATCCTGGGCGTCAGTGAACTAATATGGACGGGAATGGATTAATTCAATTCAGATGATTATCATATCTACTATTGTGGGCAAGAATCCCATAGAAGAAATGGAGGAGCTCTCATAGTCAACAAAAGAGTGGGAAAAGCTGTACTGAGATACAATCTCAAAAATGAGAGAATGATTTCAATACGAATCCAAGGCAGACCTTTCAACATCACAGTAATCCACTGCTAAAGTAGGGAGTGCTAAAGGAGGGAGTCAAGAGATAAAAGGAACAACAGGTAAGTTTGGCCTTGGAGTTCAAAACGAACACTCTTTTACAACAACACAAAAGGCGACTCTACACATGGACATCACCAGATGAGCAATACCTAAATCAGATTGATTATGTTCTCTGCAGCCAAAGATGGAGAAGCTCTATACAGTCAGCAAAAACAAGACCTGGACCTGATTGTGACTCTGATCATCAGCTTCTTATAGCAAAATTCAAGCTTAAACTGAAGAAAGTAGGAAAAACCACTGGGCTAGTAAAGGTATAATCCAAACCAAATCCCTTATGAATACACAGTGGAAGTGAAGAACAGA